AAACATAACAGATATTTAATAGGTTGCTGAATGAGGAAAATAGATTAAAATAATAAAATATCATTTTTAGATGTAAAACTATTATTAATTTATTATAATTAGAATTTATTTACATTTAACATTTATTTTTTCTCTAATTCTTTACTTTTTGTTTCATTCTTGTTGGTTCTGCTTGACTGAAACATTGTTCTGACCCAGTAACAGGTTCTGAAGCTCCTCCCCTCTCCCTGCAGACCTGCTGCTCGATCGTGTCTTTTTTTTTCCTTCGTCCTGAAACTTTTTGCTGCTAAACAAATAACTTTGGACCTCAGTCAGAAACAACTGGAGAGTTTATACTTTTGGCCCGAGAGGAGGAGGAAACGGTGGATTAAAGTCTCCCTCCTCCCCCACACGCACTTCCCCCTCGCGAAGCGGTGCGCATCAAATCAGACGTCTTTTAAAAAGAATAAATGTAGCATATACTTTTTATCATATCTTKAGATCTACTTGGCCTAACAACATGATTCAAAAACTGGTTTAAAATTCATAGTCTCTGATTTTCACTCCAGAGTCAGAGAGGTTGGCTTTTTACAGGTAAAGTTTTTTCTTTCTTGCTACCTAACTGCGGTCATTGACAATGCTCTGCAGGTGACGTAATTGGCTCCGCGACACGGCGAGGGATGCATAAATCCCGTGAAACAACGAATCGATAATGAAATTCGTTGCCAACGCTTTTAATAATCGATTTTTATCGATTTTATCGATTCGTTGTTGCAGCCCTACAAAGGACCCATTAAAATATTGGCTCCTGCAGAAGACACCTTATCCAAGCCTATATAGAGTGTCTCTCCTTTGTGATGTGTGACCCTGAGAAGAAGCCAACTGAGGCCAAACACACAACTGGACAGTGTGTAAGTGTTTGTTCTTAATAAAACTTTGTAAAACAGTGTTGGACAAGCACAGTCTCATGTACATACGCATGTTTTTGCAGCATCACAAGTAAGGCCTTTAAAGTCAGTCCCACGAAAGCATTGCAGAATTTAAATAACTACTTGGATTATGTGTTATATTACAACCATGTTCTAATAATTAAAATCAGGAAAAACTACATGATCTAAAAGAGATGCTCTTCTGATAATTACCATCTTGGATGTACTACTGATCTGCACTTAGAACCCTTCAGTCCTTCTTCAAATACCGGTCATCTCAATCAAAATCATGTTTCAAGTCATTATAACTAATAAGAGGACAACACAATTAACAAGAAGTGTGAATCATTTGGATGTTGCTGAAAAAGAAATCATGACAATACCTACTCTGATAGCACAGTTCACATGTGATTAGGCAACAACAAAAACATTTGTAAATGTGAGGTTACTGAAAACCTATCAAACGGCAAGCTTTCTAAGATGTCCTAAAAATATTACACTGCATTGAAAACTAGTTGAAAAAAAATTTAAACTAGGAGTAAAATGGCTGAAAAACAACGAAAATTGGTCCAAGTTAGGACAATAATCTATTGTGTGTTTGCTTTTTTTGAAAACACTACCGCCTCCTCTTTTCTTCTGGTGTGGAGAGTTGAACAAGAAGGAAAGTACGACAAAATAAAATGTAGCAATCAAATACTTTGAACTCAGGCCAAGAGAAAAACAATAGAATAAATGAACATCAAAATGTTTATACTGTTGTCCTGTGTACTGTACTTGTTATACATTTTGTTAAGAGACCAGAATGTTCTTTTAAAACCAAAACAGAATCCTGTATGAGGTACATCCATTTAGCAGACCAGATCCCATGAGGTTCCTTCAATCTGCAACTGAGTCATTGCTTCAAACATTCACAGGTTTAACACAGCGAGAGCTTTGCTGCAAACAAACTACCTATCAAAGCTTTTAGCTCTCTTCACCCATTTAATTAACAAGCAGTAATGCAGAAAATGGGGCTTCTAATGCTTCCTAGGTGTTTACCACCAGCTCTTTAGTAAAGCCAACTTCACTTGTCAGTGCTAAATCCAATCTTTAAAATGATGATTGCTCTTTGTGCTCTCTAAAGGCTAATGTCTGTTAATAGTTGTATGATAAAAAAAACACTTGTCTTACATGATTTGCACACAAATGAAATCTGTACTTGGCAAGAAATCTGACTATAGAGAGACAATATGAGATTTTTATTGAGATTGTCCCTGGTGTAACGCTGGCAGTTACAGGTAGATCTGACCTTCAGAATGATAAACTGTAGATTTACTACATACTTATCTCTGAGTCTGCAAGAGGTACCTGACAACAAGCAGGTTTCATCTTGCCAATATGCTCCTCTAGTGAGTCTATCCAGTTAAGCCAGTTTGATGAGGGGATAAGCTGCAGGCTGCTCATGACAAAAAGGAGCAATCTCTTCTACTCTGCGAGTAACCATGACACATACCTCTTCAGGTTTGCTTAAAACCTGTCACTCAATCTCTCTAACACACCATTGCACATCCCTACACACACTCACATGTCTACATACATAGGTATCTTTATTGGTGACTGTAAGTATATTTTATTAGACAGCCTAACGACCCAAACAACACCTTTAGCACTAATCAGTTTTTTTATTTAACTCTAAAACTGCCTAATAAGGTAAAAATGTCAAGAAATGCAAACACATATTTCTAAACTTTTTGAAGGACACTTCTTTCAAACTGTGTGGGCATGACTTTCAGATTTTTTTTTCATATTGTCAATGGGCCCATTTAACTGCACAAAACCATTTCTAATAACATTGATTTTTACCTGAAAACAACAATGTGTAGGAGATACTAAGTCTCGTTTGAAGTTTCAAAAGATTTTGATTACTTATCAAGGTTAGGTACAAGCCCACACGGAATGCTACTGGTGGGAAAGGAGGCCACCAAATGTCAACAATTAACTTTGAATCATCAGACTTGCATCAGACTTAGACATCTTAAATATAAAAAGCTGTTAACTGATCACTACCTACTGATGAGTTGAATCTGGTGGCAGAGAAGGCTGCTGTACAGACTGGATAAACCAAAACAAATAGTGTCCTGATGCATCTCAGTAATCCAGGTAAAAAATCAAAAGGAAAAAAAAATTGTATAGGTCCTCTGGATGGGTTCTTCTTTAAGGAAACGTTTTGTCTCTCTTTCAAGAGATTTCTTCAGTCTGAGAGTTTCAGGCAAAATTCAGGCTTTTGAGTCCTGCCTCCAGGTGACTGATACTCACATCACATGGCTATCG